TAAGAGCCTTTTGTTTTTAAACTTGCGGTAAATTACAATCTAAAGTGTCTATAAAAAGAATCCCTTACCCAACGGCGGGTATAATGAGAAGAGCTCAGAGAACAATTCTACTTTGTTCGTGAAAATTAATTTACTCACCTTTTCCCGCGTTTCCCCTTAAAATTGATGGAAATACACTGCAGAAAAAGATTGCTGGAAAAATATATAAAACGGTAGATTCCTTAGTTCGAGTACATTAAATTATAATATATTTAAAGTGTTCTTTAGAACTCTTTTTTATCAATCTCCTATTTTGTCACAATTGCTGGTAATAAGAAATATTGTTACAAAAATGTGTAGTGTTTGAGAGATAAGAGACTAACAGCCGTATGCATAGTCGATCGCCAGCGACTCGCCAGCGATTCGCTGGCGATCCGCCGGCGAAAGCCCAAAAAGCTGGCGACTCGCCGGAGATTGTCACCGAAATGTCATTTTACGCAAGTTTTCATGTTCTTTTATAGGGAAAAATTTGATATTCGTTCATTATTTTTTGAGTTTTAAGAAATGAATCATGAATAAAATGCGAGAGATACCGGTGATAATCCCTATAAAAGAAAATAAAAACTTGCGTGGAATGACATTTCGGTGACAATCTCCGGCGAGACGCCAGATTTTTGGGCTTTCGCCGGCGGATCGCCAGCGAATCGCTGGCGAAACGCCGGAATGAATCTCTGGCGAGTCGCTGGCGATCGACTATGCATACGGCTGTAAGTGTAACCAAAATTATACAGGGTGTCTGTAAAAGGTCTTTACAAAAACATGCCACATATTCCTTAGACCAAAATAAGTCGATTTAAGTAAAATTACCTTAGTACAAAGTTGCTTCGTTTGGGCTCCAGAGGGCCTTGAAGTTACAATTTTTAAATCGTTTTTCCCATATAAATTTAAAACGGCATATGCGATTTTGCTGAAATTTGGTATATTGGTAGAGTTTTATGTGGCAAAAAAAATGGTATTAAAATTTTGTCCGATAATAATACATAGGCGTAGAACTTAATTTTTTAAATAATTGCACCTTGAAAAATTCTACGCCAATGGAAGAAAAGGAGTTTGAGTATGAAATTTAGATTGCGCAACTCATTTACTTTAAAAAAGGTACTCTTGATAAGACTCGATTACTCTCATGGTTTTCGCTAAATTTCTGTTTTAATAATTTAGAGTGTATAGGTTTCACAAAAATATTTATTTACAACATAATCAAAATAGAGATTTTACAAAAATTGTTCAAAATGTTCACCATTTTCACGCATTCAAAGATTTATACGTCGAAGAAAATTAAAATGTATCCTTTCCAAAACTTCTTCATCATCTCTAAGATTGTTTATTGCATCTTGAATACGTTGCCAGAGTTGTTCCTCATTTTCTACAAGTTTCCTGTAAACTGTGGATTTCAGATGTCCCCATAAAAAGTAATCAATCAGTGTTAGGTCTGGGGAACGTGGTGGCCAGTTTACAGGTGCGTCATTACCTCTGCCTATCCATTTGTGTGGATATTGTTCATTCAAGTGGTTTCTAACGTTTAAAGAAAAATGTGGTGGAGCTCCATCTTGCATAAACCACATATCTCTCCCAAGTTGGAGAGGTAAATCTTCTAACAATTCTGGCAACGTATTTTGTAGAAAATCCAAATAATTTTCTCCAGTTAATCTTCGTGGAAGTAGGACAGGACCAACAATGAAATTACCAATTATTCCAGCCCACACATTAATTTTGAATTCGTGCTGAAAATGGTTTACCTTTATTGCATGCGGATTTTCAACGGCATAAACATGTTCATTATGGGTATTAGTTATACCTCTTCTTGTAAAACCCGCTTCATCAGTAAAGAGAATCTTCTTGACAAAGTTTGGATCTCTTTTTCTTTGCATATTAACAAATCGACAATAACCCAAACGAATTTGAAGATCATGGACTAATAATTAATTCTTGTACTTGTAATAATTGGCATTATTATTAATTGAAAAAATCTAAAGAATTTACCAAAAATTCTAAACAAGTATTTAATGTTTAAATTAAATAATTAAAAAGACACATATGACAATGAAACAAACCTTCATTTTATTAATTTACATTGAACGTGACATTGTAAAATACAATCAACAGTCACATAAATTTTGGTTTATATAGAAAGGATCACTTGGGGGAAACGCTCAGTCGGGTTCGGACTAAGGTCCAGAACTTTCGCCCCTCGGGCGAAACCCTGGTTTTTTTATTGTAAAGTAATGTGTAAAGTTTTTGTGTACGATGTGAATTATGGGTAAATATTTTAACTTAATTTTGTTTAATAATAATTGATTAATTGATTTACATATAAATGCCAATTTAACATTTTCGTCCCGAATTATATTTTATGCTTATCTTTATTACTATTAGTTATAGTGCATTATTCTCTAAATGGAATTTTATTCATTTTTTCTGAAGACTATTTGTCAAGTTTTTTATTTATTGTTAATATACATTTGTTAATGTTTTAATACTTATTATTAATCTCTCCTCCTTTCCCAAACCAGCAAAATACTCCGAGCATTTGAGAAGCCTCGGCGTTTCTATTCCCTTAGGACTAAAAGAGTCTAAAACTAGTTGCCAAGAACCGCTCGACATATGCTATTAAGGGATGTTTTTTTTGTAATTTTATTATTTTCTTTTATTATTTTATTTTTGCCACTGGCGAATGGATGTTCCTTCAGGACTCCACGACCCTTTGGCTGGTGATGTCGCTGCCCTAATCCCTTAATAGTATATTAACAACAGTAGCTAAAGACCATTCAAATGGTCTTTAGGCTAACTGGTTGTTACATTTGGTGACGAGCGTTGGTCTTTAGGATTAACTGGTTGTTACATACTGGCTTCTTATGGTATGGATATAGCAATTGTTCTTCAAGCACTTTACTCCTAGTTCCCTTCCAATTCGTCTGGTGCTTAATTCTGGATCTTCTTCAACACGTTCTAAAATGTCTTCTTCAACTTCAGGAATCCTTACAAAACGTTCTCTTCCATTATCAACAGTATTGGGAGCAAAGGAACCGGTCTCCCGAAGACGTCTCTCAACAGTAGCAAAAGTTGGGTGGCTAGGTACACGACGATTTGGAAACCTTTCAGAGTACACCCTAACACTCTCTCGAGCATTTCCTTCATAAAATCCTAATGTTAGTAACTTATCGGTATATTCTGCATTGGTATATTGTACAGCCATATTAATAATCCACGCATTTGTTTTTTAATTATTGAGTCAGATAGAACACTTTCAATCGTTAACAAGAGATTAGGTGTTAAAACTTGACAATATTTTTATTTAGATGAAACTATGGAAACCAACAATAAATGTTTTTGAATACGTATTGCAGGCTAATAATTAATATTCCTCAAAAAATCGTACGTGGCAAGAATCGTGTATTTTTGTTAAAAGTCTCGATTAGAGGTGTTGAAGAAGATATGAAAAAAGTACATTTTTATGTTTTTCATCGTATAAAATTTTGTCCGATAATAATACATAGGCGTAGAACTTGATTTTTTAAATAATTGCACCTTTAAAAATTCTACGCCAATGGCAAAAAGGGGTTTGAGTATGAAATTTGGATTGGGTACTCATTTACTACAAAAAAATACCCTTGATAACACTCGATTTACTCTCATGGTTTTGACAAAGTTTGTATTTTAATAATTATTGTTTATGTTCTAAAATTACTAAAATGCAAATTTCGTCAAAACCATGAGAGTAATCGAGTCTTATCAAGAGTACCTTTTTTAAAGTAAATGAGTTGCGCAATCTAAATTTCATGCTCAAACTCCTTTTCTTCCATTGGCGTAGAATTTTTAAAGGTGCAATTATTTAAAAAATCAAGTTCTATGTATTATTATCGGACAAAGTTTTAATACCATTTTTTTGCCACATAAAACTCTAGCAATATACCAAATTTCAGCAAAATCGCATATGCCATTTTAAATTTATATGGGAAAAACGATTTAAAAATTGTAACTTCAAGGCCCTCTGGAGCCCAAACGAAGCAACTTTGTACTAAGGTAATTTTACTTAAATCGACTTATTTTGGTCTAAGGAATGTGGTACGTTTTTGTAAAGACCTTTTACAGACACCCTGTATATTGGATGATATAGCTTGTCTAAAACTAAAGTATTAATAATATAAAAAATGTTTCGAATGCAATATGTACAAAATAAATAGGCAAATTTGTGTTTGTAATTAATGGAGCGAAGAAGAATTAGATACATCAAATAATGTATATATAAATGAAAATAATAAACTTAGGGCAATTTAAACGGGCTCTTACTTACAACCGCAAAGGGGATTTTCCTTTAATTTTTCTTCCCCCCGCATAGTGGCACAAATAAAATTTTATAACGCGGAAATAATTTGTTGCGAAACTCCGACAGCAGCAGCTGGTGCTTTTAAATAACAACCCAATTATAAGGATAACAGTTTGGGACGTAACTAAAAAATGACTCTAGGAGAAAACTAGCAAAACGCGCAATAAAGCGGAAATATTGTCACATATTTCTCGTTTTTTCTCACTACTTACTGATACGATATTAGAGGCGTGTCGGGATATATAACAAAAAAACAGTCTTTCAAAGATTACAGTTCAAAGAAATTCTAGAATTTACTTTATAAAGGATACACATATTTTCTTAGTTAATTAAAAATGTAAAATTTTTATTAAAAGACTTTCTAGAAACAGATAATCATCATGGATACTTTTATCACAACAAAACATGAAACTGGTAAAACTTACAATACAATCAGTTCTTCAGAATGTGCATGCAAACTAACCACTGCTGATCTGAACAACTATTCCGATATTTTCGTCCGAACGCCAGTTCGTCAGAACATGCATCTACTACAACCATAGCCTAAATCGTGAAGACGTCAGTTGCGACGTGCTTCCTGCTTTCTGGCAGCAAGTCGCACGTTGCATGCTACTTTAAGGCTTGGTTCCACTTGTGCAGTAGACGCATGCAGCCACTGCTTGCAGCCGCCGTTGCGTTTACTGCTGGCAGTTGAAGAGGTTCACCTTGTACAGTGGAAATGCAAGTGTTTTTAAAAAGTCGCTATCTAGTCAGTTTGTTTTGAGCATTCATTGTGAAACGATGCATCGTGGTGCATTCAGGTGCATTATTAGCTCTTTACTTATTAGACGAAGAAGAAGACAAAACCGTTGTGCGCATAATTAACAGAAATTTTCAGAGAAAACCACAACATATGATGTTTCGACGAAGAAATAAGGAAGGAACTTATAAAAATTTAATATGTAAATACCTAGTGGGCGATGAAGAAAAATTTTAGCAGTTCTTTAGACTAACAAAAACCCAGTTTCACTTCGTTTTATCTGCCATTTAAACAGACATTAAGAAAGCGCCCACCAACATAATTCAACGACCGATAACAGCTGAAGAAAAATTAGGTGTAACGTTAAGGTAAATGAAAAAAATATTTATTTTTATGATAAATAACAGATACGCTTTAACTTTAATCTAAATTAAGATATCGTAATTGGTCGTATTGATCCTGATTATTATTATACATTGCGACTCTTCACAGCTATTTAATGAAGACTTGTTTTGCTGTTGAGGTAAATCCTTTGGTTGAGATGCTAGTAATTGTAACTCATTTACAGTTTCTAATTGTCGAAGTTTTGCTTTTGCAATTAAATGCGGGGGAAGTCGTTTTACACTTAAATCGATACTTCTGTAGAACACTTTTACATCGTCTTCTTCAGGAACATTGGTTTTATACAGAAATTTTTCGACGATTTTCTCTCTGGCCTTTTTGTTCTCTTCAAGTAATTTTGAAATGTTGTCAGTCATTTTTCTCTTATGGGCTCTGACAGGGGTGCAGGTACTTGCCACACTGGACGTTGACGGCGTGGCAATAGAAGACTGCTCTAAGTCAATTATTGTACTTTGCGTCTCTTCTACCAAATTATAGTCTGCATCAGAAACCGCCTCGTCATTGCTTTCCTGTGACTCTTCCTCTATGTTGGATATCGTACTGAAAAAACACAAGTATGTTATCAAAACTTTAAATTATTTGCTAGTTTAAAAAAATACTAACTATAATTACCTTCTTTCCTCTGGAACCGTTTCGAGAAAGGAAGGGTAATCGAACAGAGGCCACTTTTTGCGCTTCACTGCTGCTGATGATCCTGTTCCTAATTTGCCACTTCTTTTTAGTCTCTTGTATGTATCGCGAATAGATTTCCATCTCTTTATGCATTCATCATCTGTAAAAATAAAACAGTTTTTTATTTCATATATTTGGCAACTGGCGAATTATTTAGATCTCTTGCTTTTGGGTTCTGGATTTCACACTGCCACATTTCCAGAATTGTTAATGTTGTTCTTTCGTCGATATGTAAAAGATTAGTACCTGTTTTATTCCCAACTGTGTCGGAGCAATTGACGGGAAACATGTCCATAGTATGTTCAGCAAAGAGTGGATCCTTATATTTCAACTATAAGAATTTCTTTTCAATTATGCTCTTGGCTGTGGTTGACGCTCGATATAAATTTTTAGCTGTGGACATTGGATCGTATGGCAAAGAGGGTGATAGTGGATAATTTGCATAAAGTCTACCATAGGCAAACAGATTTTGTTTTCCTCCAGAAAATATATTGCAGGGCACACAAACTAATTTGCCTTACGTTATTGTTGAAGATGAAGCTTTTCGACTTCATCCCAATCTAATGAAACCCTACAATAGAAATCAGGCGCGAGAAAGTTTTGATAAATCTGTTTTCAATTACAGGCTTAGTAGAGCTAGAAGGGTGTCAGAAAATGCTTTCGGATTGTTATGCCAAACGTTCAGAGTTTTTTTACGCCTCTTGCAGTTAATCCAAGCACTGCAGATTTGTTAATAATGGCAACAGTGTGCCTCCATAATTTACTGAGAGAAGATTTGGATGACACCAGAAAATGTATTGAGCTTGGACCAAATATAGCAGTCGAACAAGAAAGAAGAAATATGTTACCTTAAGTAAGAGGTGGTGGATTTGCCAATGTCGAAGGATTTGTCGTAAGGGATAAATTTAAAGATTTTTTTATGACCGAAGGAAGAATACCTTGGCAGGATAATCAAGTTTTAAGAACTTAAGAACTTTGTTGTATATCTCATTATCTGTGTTTATTTAAATAATAACTTTATATATACAGGGTGTCCCAAAATTCCGCGTACATAGATCTACTGTATGTTGGTGAGATCAAAATAAGTCGATTGAGCCAAAATTACCTATATCATAAAGTCCATCGTTTGCCTGTGAGGAAGCTTCAAAGTTGGAAGAATATTTTCATTTTTTTTTAATAACACAAAAACGCTTCGTTCGATTTTTATAAAATTTGGTGTGTACCTATTTTAATTGAAGAGCCATTGTTCAAAGCAAAAATTACACCAACTGAAATTATGGAAGGGTAAAAACCACCCTAATCCTACCATAAATCGTATTTTTTTTTCAGGGCCGCCTCTGTTCCCTAATTTTTTTTTGTGGAGAGCTGTTTTCATTTGTAGCATTTTTTTCTCTCTTGCAAAAAACATGTATCTCTCATGGTATTTGAGTAAAAAAAATTTTATGGACTGAGGGTTAGTCACTTAAAATTTTCACTAGTAATACCACTAGAGGTCAAATTATTTCCGGAAATTTTTTCGAGCTCATGAATATTTTGAAAATTTCCCGAGTCGCAGACGAGGAAAATTTTCTAAAAATATTCATGAGCGAGAAAAAATTTCCTGATATTAATTTGACCTCGCGTGGTATTCGGTAAGAAAATTCCACGCCGAATTATGGTTGAAAATTAAATATTTTTAAAATTTATTTTTCGTTTCTCAACAATGCAAATAATTTTCTCCAAGTCACCAGTGAAACATAAAAGGTGTTCTCGCCTTGATTGTTGAGTTGTCATGGTAACTAAGTGAGACCCTAACCTCGAATATAATTTCAGTTTTGAAGTTGTCAAGCGGCCCGACGTAAAAAAATGTTTCGCTGCAATTATTTAGGCCTTCAAATTGCTTATTTCTACTCATTGTAGTTGCATGGGAATACCATTTGAAAATAGAAAATAGTATATTCTTTAATTTTACGTAAGTTTTGAATAACTACAAGTGGTAGAAAATTGTTTTCCTGCGTTTTTATTAACATGCGTTATGAGCGCTTTAAAATGGTATGAAATTCATAACCAGCGTCAGCAAGCATCAATCGTAGGAGGCTGTGATCATTGTATTTTGACAGTTCAAAACATTAAATAACTCGCGTTTTGTTGCGATAAAGAATATTGCACAGCAAGTAAAACCAACAAAATTACCTATTTGTTTAAAAATGAATCGATTTGACAATCATACGCTATGCAAAATATGCGTGAAATTGTCTGATGTAATGATCAATCATTGCACCATGACTTACTTACTCGGATTAATAGAGGATTGTGGCTCCAACTTGAAAAACGAAAATTTGTTCCGAATTGTCCACGAATATTTGCACCTAAACTACGCAAAATTCAAAGTGCTGAATGGGAAAAAGGTGAATAAATTAGTGTCTAAATATTATATATATTTTATTAGACATAGACACATAATTCAAAGCATCCAAAGTCCTGCATTTTTGCCATTAAGAAGAAAAGAAGTGGCCGAAGAATATAGAAAACACCTTAGCATTGTAACTAAAATGTATCAAAACTAAACCTATTATGTGAACAAATAAAAACCAGTCTGTCAAAAATGGTCTGTTATTGTAAACGTCAAAAAATTTCCAGTATAATTCGCTGTTGGGTACCCCACGAGAAAAAAATTTCCACTAAAATACCTCCGTTGCCATGGTGATCTGTCAAAAACACGTATTTTGATTGGTTCAAAATTACAGGTGTGGAATTTTCAAGAAAACTAAGTTGGCGGTTGTCAACGTTACAATAAACAATTTGATAATTTTGACATATGTTTGTTGTAGAACTGTAAAAATTGTCGATACTACTCATTTTATGTATGTATTGTATTTTTTCTGTTTCGATTTAAAGTTTTTGTGAAGGAGTTATTTCAACCATTTTGTGGTTGGTATGGAGTACACATTCAATGAACAAACTGATATGTTGCTACAGCTTGGTTCCTGTAATGGCAACTGCCATGAGAGTGTTCGGGTATACCATGAAAAATTTCCAAATCGACAGATTCTGAATCACCAGACTTTTACTTCTATCGAGAGGCGACTTCGAGAAATTGGTCAACTGAAACCGAACAGAATTAATGCTGGAAGACCTCGTCATGTTAGAACACCTGCTGCAGAGGAGGGAATACTTGAAATAGTTGAAAATAATCCCGGAATTAGTACCCGACGACTGGCACGCCAAACTAGGATTTCAAAAAGCACATCCAACAGAATAATTAGAGAACAACTTATGTATCCCTTTCACATTCAAAATGTCCAGGAACTCCTACCTCCTGATTATGAGTCTCGTTTGCATTTTGTACAAGTTATTCAAGAGCACAGAGCGGCCGATCCAGTTTTTCACAGAAAAATTTTGTTTACAGACTAGTCATGCTTTACACGACGTGGTATAGCAAATTCACATAACGAACGTGTTTACGCAGATGAAAATCTACATGCCATTAAAGAGAAACTTTCAACGAGAGTTTAAAATTAATGTGTGGGTGGGTATGGGTATTATTGACACCTACTTGATTGGTCCATTTAGATTACCAGATCATCTTAACGGTGACAGTTACTTGCATTTTCTACGTCAAGATTTGTCTCAACTGTTAGAAGATTTACCGCTCAATTTACCAACTTTGAAGCTTCCTCACAGGCAAACGATGGACTTTTTGATATAGGTAATTTTGGCTCAATCGACTTATTTTGATCTCACCAACATACAGTAGATCTATGTACACGGACACCCTGTATATTATAATATTATTAGCAAAAAAGTTTATATTATATACCTGTTTTACCCTCAATGTGAGATGCTATTTCTTTCCACACATTATCTTTGGTAATATTGTCTTTAAACTTTTTATCCGAACTGTCGTACAAACATTTGTGAAATGACACCAATTCAATTAGTACCATTTCCTCATCACGGGAGAAGTGTTTCTCACCACTCATCTTTTGTATTATTATATAAAACCAAGGAATTAAAAAACAAAAACAATATCTCCAATCACTACCGAAAAACACGTGGTTTTGCAACGACTGCTGCGTCCAGACTGGTCCTTCTAGCAGTTGATGCAGCCTTCGCATGCGATGTAATACGACCGACGCACTAGCAGAACCAATACCATAACGATGCACAGATATCAGTCCCTGCGACCGCTGCAGCAGTGGCTGCAAGCAGTGGCTGCATCCGTCTGCTGCACAAGCGGAACCAAGCCTTTAGTGCGAAAGCCCACTAATAAGATTTCGTAACTTCGGTAATTTTTTTGGTGTACTCTGTATTCCTAAACCAGTAAAATTCTCAACAGAAATATTTATTTTGAAATCAGCCCGCTCGCCTGCCAGTCAACTTACGCGATTTGGCGGATTTCGATTATATCGTATTTTCCTCGACGGTTATTTTTGATGTTTTTGCTTTATTTTCCGTCGATGCGATCCTATGAATTATTCAGGATTTTTCTATCGCACAGCACGTCCGAAATAACGCCGAAAGGATATTTTGCGGCGTTTTGAGTATCCAGACACCGCATGAAATGGAATTAGCTTATGGGTATATGTTTTTTAATTGATTTAACGGACTTTAAATATGTTTCTTCAGCTGCGGTCGATATTTAGCGGCTTTTAATTTGTTACAGGGTTGGTAACGAGTAATACAAACTTTTACCAATTATTGGTAAAATAAAAAATAAACAGCATATTTTTTTCTACTGAAATCGGTATAAATAACATCAGCTCCGTATTTAAAAAGGAGGTGATGATGGAACCAAAAAATAAAACGTCGCACTCAAAAACTAATTATGTCATATTGCTTCCAAACAAGTGCTTTTAAGTAAATAAATTCTCTTAAAATAATTTCTGTGAAAATTATGTTTCGACTATTGTTGATTTCTATTTTTATATCTTTTATGTTGGGAGAGGAACGGTGTTAATCAAACAAGGTCTAAATGGTAACTGGTTTATTTTTGTGTAAAATAAAAATGACTAGATGGACAGTTGACTTGACATGTGTTAAGTGATACCAACGGTATCTGAATAGAGGTTCACATATAACCTCTGACAACTATAACCTCATTTCATAATTAATAATAGTTAAGAAAATATAAATAGCTTTAGAAATACATAATTTCCATTATAAATTTTATTGGAAACTCAAAAAAAATCCAATCGTTCACTGGAAAAATAAAACTCCTCTTGTTATAGTTAAATAATCATGTAATTATCCCCGTAATTTCATTAATTATCCGGATCAGGTATAGTCTAACGTGTATAACAATAGAAATAAAGAGGAGGATAATTGTGAATCCAACGTAGGGATGAAACACAATGACTCAACCACCAGAACATAAAGGAACACACAAAATGGAAAATGAGAGACCATTAATTCTGCTTATTGTATTCCAAATAAACTGCGTCACAGACGCTTAGATACCGCGAGAAATGACGCGAATAAGGGCAGAGGTTCTATCAAAGTAAGTGTAGGTCTTTAGAAAATTATTAATAACTAAGATTTATTTAAAATTAAGCGCAACAATATTTTTTGTGCTTTATTTTTATTATATTCACAAAATTATGTAGAAGAACGTTTTTAATACTTTCTAGTATTTTTTAAGCATAATTACATGTTCTTTGAATATTATTTAATACATATCAGTTGTTTTTTCTTGATTTTTCAGTATTATATCTTAATTGAATTAAGTTTTTCGGCTCTTTCTTAACGATTTTCTATTATTTTGCACTTATTTAGTATTTTAACACTTAAAACGTTGGCTTCCTATTGATTCTTGTCGGTTTTTTCTTGTTATTAACTATTTTAGAAAATGCATTTGACCCTGTAGTTAGGGTGTTCCTGTATACTAATAACTGGTCACTAATTAATAGCTTACAAGTGCAGATCTTACCAGGATTTATGGGATAATTTTAACGCGCCAAGTTACAAATAATGTCTTATTTCGTTTTTGAATTATTTGAAAACTTTGCTGTTCTTTGAGACTTGGCGCAATGGACCTTTTTCCTTTTGGAAATGCAGGTGTTATTAATTACTTTTTAGTTACTTATTCAGCTATATAATATGCTTTTTAATGTACAGAAGGAATTATATTGACTACCTATAATTATTATTCTATAAAATTTATAAACCAATTTCTATAAAAAATTTGTGTAGTTGTTGACAAAGTTGCATAAATCATTGGCAAGCTTAGATATTCTAAATAGTTTAAGGAAGCTTACTTGAGAATGCATAATCTATATCTGGACTATACACTCCAAACCCTGAGTGACCGCATCGGTAAAGAACCTGGTATAAGATGGGTATTTCCTGATAATATTCTGATATTGTACAATTGCTATACTTTCCGCTAGCGCCAATGTTTACGATAGGAATGGAGGTCAAAAGCTTACAACGTTACATGATTTATTTATTATTTAAACTTATTTCCATCACACAGTTGGCACAAGTTAGTATTTTAAAATGTAAATAATTATTTTCGTCAGTTAAAATTAGTCTGCTCTGTATTATTACAGCAGATAACAACTAGAAGCACCGAATTCTGAGACTCAATCTTCATCGTTTATTAGGACCGAAATCAATCATTTCAAATCCCTTTTTTTATCTCCTGCAACTTTTTGTTGGTGTCTGACTGTCATAATATTAGCAAAGGGATTTCTGTTCTACCAATTGGACCTTTTTACTCCTTAAATCATTCTTTTATTCGTCGAAAATCTTTCATGCGATCTTTTCATCTTCTTTCAGCAGTTTTGTTTTACAGCTGAAATTCGTTGGTGTTATAGAATTAAAATAATTATACAAGGTGGATGCTTTTTAATTAAAAAAATGTGTATATTTGTTGAACCCTTTCTACATACTAAAACCAAGTTTTGGAATGTCACAACTATTGTAAAAAAACAACTTTTATGGAACAAATCGTTGAAATATAAGAACTTGTATGCGGAAAACTACTAAACTTTTTCTCTTGTTCCATATTCGTCCCATTTTAGGCAACGAGGATGGGATGGAATAATGTCCCGCCTGAGGTATACTATATGATGTTGATTATTTGTTTTTCTACACCCGTATTATAATAATGCACTTATATGCCCATAATCCGTTTCATAATGATCCCCATTATGATACAGATTTTTAATCAATAGAAACCTACAATTTTTCAATCAAGCATGCTGTTTGACGTTTGTCCTAGGTTCCTATGTAATTATTTTAGTTGTCAAAACGTATTAAATTTTCGTAGGTAGCTAAACTTCGATAATTATAATATTAAAATGTCTGATATTAGCGATATAGAAGACTCCTCCACACATATCGGAGAAAGCAGAAAATACAGTACAAAATATTTTACCGCAAAAATCTAGGGAAATACCAATACCTGAAGTAATACCATTAATTACAATTTTGTAGAATTTTTTATAGAAATACGAGTAATTACTGTTATTGTGTTCAATACCAATATAAATATAATATTTATAGGTCTTGATTATTTATCGGGTGTAGAAAAAATAGCGTATGCAACTCTCATGTAATGGTTATTAAAACACTCGCATAAACCATACGAAACTCGCCTTTGGCTCGTTTCGTATCCCGGTTAATGCTCGTGTATTAATAACCATCATTACATGATCGTTGCATAATATACTATTACCTATTGTTTTGTCTATGAATTTTATGTGGTTTTTTATTTGACAGGTCATTATACGAATCAACTTGGTATATAGAAAGATTAGAAATAGAAATAGCTTTATTAAAATAAACGAATATTTTTGATCCCCATCTTTGCTTGGGATTATATAAAAAGAAAAAAAAAATTGATAATATTAGAGAAATCAAAAAGTTGTTCTAAGTTTAAGTACTACAATAATAGTAATTAATGTTAGAAACTAATAAAAAGCAGATTGTCGTAAAACGAATGCGTATCTTTTGGTAACACCGATTTAAGATCCTCAAGGTGGTTCCATTTTTCTCTTTTAATTTTACATTGACTTTTTAAAAGTTGTGAGTAGTCATGTATTGGGTCCAAAATCTTTTCTTACAGGCAAATCAATATAGTCACTATCGTAGTTTAACTTCACCTGAATTTTCCCGTTGGGGATGTACTTCATACATTTAATATCATTGACGACGGGATCATTGGTCTTTTTACCTGGGCGTATCGAAGAATATCGATGAAACTTGGAATCAGAAAAGTTTTTGAAAAAGTTGTAGTCTAAAATTTGTACATCATAGGGTTTATGATTTAATCTTGATTCTTTAGTAACAGAATCTTAATCACTTGGTAAATGTATTTCGCGACGACGTAGTTTTCTCTCTATTGTGCTATGAACCGAGTCACACTCCATTTGAGTGTGACCCGACTCTAAATACTTCTGGTATACAAATATTTGGTGTTTGATGAAAAAGTTTAAAATAGCATTGGACAAAATATTGTTTCTAATCTGAAAGCCACAACCATCAGAATAGATAATAATGGGCAACTTGTCAGGGGTCAAACAATTTTTCTCCAAGAAGTCTATTATGCAAGAAGTAAACGTAGAAGCTTGTAGCTGATTGTTTTGGTCCTCGGAAAACCAGTAGCAAGTTACATCACGAGTGGCCAAATTGTATAAATTAAAATTGTGACAACACAGTTTTGTTTTAAAATAGATTTTTCCATTTGGCAAAAATGGCGCTAGTTTGACTGCCTGTAAGTCCATTGTTAATGCCACAATTTTCCCCTTTTTCAGCTAATTCTTTGTTGGTTGTCTTTGCCTCACGAAGAAGTAATTCAATTTCGATCTGGGTAATCTCAAATAGTTGAAGCACTTACGTTAATCTCGGTACCTATAGAAAGATGCAGACTTCTGCAATTGCAACAACTCTGCTAAACGCTTTGTGCACAACTGAGTTTTTATTGTCAATGTTATCTCTCACTGATATATAAAAATTTTCCAATATCATTGGCAACAGAGACATCCAGACAGACAGTATTCTGTTTGAAGGAGAATTGGCCCTTTGGAAAAATCATTAGAAGTCGGAAAAAGAGAAAAACAAGAAACTGCCTGGAGATGTTATAGAAGTATTAGATTCCTGCGATTTAAATATATTTCCATTAATCCACAATCTTCTCAGAATCTTGGCCACATTTCCATGTA